GTATTTTTGCGGTTAACAACAAACAAATCGTCGTTCAATCAGATAAGAAAATTTACTTTATTAATTGATATAAAGTGCATATCCTGCTACGAAATTAAACTATTTCTTTAGTATGATCAATCCTATTTTTACCTATTCTCTAATTCATCTGAAATACTCATGTCACTTGCTTAACAAAGCAGGGATTTCTTGTATGATTACATCACTTTTTAATCATTAAAAGCTACGCTAAGAAAGATGTTCTCATAATTTACAGATATACATGAAGTTAGTTGACAGCGTTATGCATTAGATATTGTCTGGATGTAAGATATGACTGGAGATAGCAACCACAATCTGAGTATTTTCATTTCCTGCGTCGTAAAGCCAATTTGCTATAACTAAAGTAAAGAACTTCGTATTTAAATGCCTATTTCATGAGACTAAGATAATTCAAATAACTTAAAGCTTAAAACAAATTGTAAAATTACAAATTACACCGAACTGCTATCTATCTATCCGAATAGTGAAATACATCTACTCAAAGTAAAGTAATCCGTTAAATCTAATCTTTTGTAAAGCATACCATTTTACATAAACATTTAACACCTAGATACCCCATTATTTAAACAATTTAATAGCGGCATATCAGACTTCTCAATTCACTGCTGAAAGACATAATTTTTCCTCAGTTTTAAGGTATCCTAAAATAATGAAATTCATTGAAAATTGTAACTCACAAAAACATTTATATCATCTGGATTTCGCTGAAATATATATCTCACAATGCTACATTCTGTAAAAAAATAAATAAATGAACACTTACATAACTAACAAACCCAAAACAGCCTAATCCACGCAGAGCGGTTAATAAAACAAAACTATTATGATAACATTAATCATGTATTTGTAGCTGATACCGACAAATAAAGATTTTTGTTTCGGAAAACCATTTTTTTTCAAATAAAAAAGTTAGCTTTCTCCGTTCATAAGTGTTCTTGAAAATAAGTACCTTAATATTAATACAAATGAAAAACGCAGGCGACGAGATGACCAAAAGTGATGATTAAGGAACAAAAGTAATAAATCAATAAATAAAACATGAGTTTTTAGTCGGTAATTCCTAACTTTGATAGAAAAGATTGAGTCAATTACTAATTTAGTACACACAGTATTTTTTAACATTTAACACCAATGCTTAAGAACTAAGTTTTCTTCGTACACATCATGTTTCCTTCCTTGTAGAATACATTAACTTAGGATAACTATGTACGTAAATAGAATAGATATTTCGTGATTCTGATTGATATATTAAGAGGTGTTCAGAAATTGAGAAAAGCAACACGTAACATGTACAGGATAAAAGAGTTGAATACGGAACATACCTTATCTTACATTAGATGTCCAAAGTAAGGACGACGAGAGTCCTTTTGAAATAGGACCGGTGCTGACAATGTGAAGGAATTAGATAAGAATGCCAAAGAAGAGGAATC